CAAACTTAAACATCCTTTGAGTTTGAATTCTTGTTATTATTATTTAACGGAATTTCTGCCGATTTCATGTCATCTGTCCTCGAGTTTATATACCACTCTCTTGTCATTGATTTCCGGCCTAATTATGGGTTTAAAATTAATTTCACAAAATAATTAATTTAAAAAATATACAAAATGTTATTTTGTGAAAAATATTGAATGTAATAAAATAGTTGACTCACGAATTATGACGACAACTAGTATTGCGATTACAATAAATATGAGAATAATGGCAAACACATAGAAAGGGGTCAATTCTTTCACCGGTTTGTTTGTCGCGATATTCACTTTATCTATCAATTCCTTCAGTTGTGTCGAGTTCTGGGAATTATTGGCATTCGGTATGAATTCAAAGTCGACGGTTGTCTCCGAGTCGTCGAACAACTCTCTTGTGGCCATTTCTTCGGCATTCATATCATTCATGTCCTGTTCGTGTGATCTGTCGTTTTCATTGCTAATTGGTTTAGTGCTGGCGATAGTTGTTGTGGTTGTGGTAGTAGTGGTGGTGACAGTAGTCTTGGCAGTGACTGAAGTGATGGTCTTTGGTTGTGAAGTCATTATTTCATTTTCATCAATATTTAGCGATGAATTACCGAAACAATTGACTAATTCTTTAATACTTGACTAGAAATGAGACCAAAAAATATTTTCAATACATTAATGTAAAATCAAATCATAAAGACATACAATGGCCTCAAAAGTCACATTTCGGTCATCAATCCAATTGAATTCATAGACAGTGTTCTTCTTATCGAAACCAAACACTCGTCCGTCGATTTCAAACATGCCTTTAAAACTCTTGGCGGCCAATGGTGTCCAGTCGTCGGCCCACTTGCCGTCGCTTTCAAACTTGCGAGACATGAGACGAAACTTTTCATCACTAAACATATTTCCGTCAAAGACCGACAAAAGTAACTCATGTCTCGATCGCACAAAGAGTCCGGACTCGCAGTACAGTTTGCCCTTTGTTTTTGGCCAAAAGTCGCCCAACAAAGTGCCCGTTCGGCTCAAACCCCACAACATCTCGCCGTCGCTCTCACTGATTGGCGTCAAACTCTTGCCGTCCGGACTCAACCGGTAAGTAATGTAACCGTAAATATCGGTGCCCTCAGCAATGCCGTGACGACTGCCCACTCCTATCACCAAACTTTTAGCGCTGTCCACGACTTGACAATAACTGGCGCTTTGGTCGCTGCGATCGCATACAGCGAAGTCAAAGCTGATGGCAGTGTGGAGCCAATTAAACGAACCTGGTTCATTCACGTTCACCACAATGTAATTACATTAGATAACAAGATAAGAGACAAGGTAAATAGTAACAAGGTAAAAATGGTCGACATACCCTTTCCAAATATGATGTTTTGGTCGTACGGCCGGTCACTGATACGTTTGGTGCGGGTGTCCCACTCCCAGGCCATTTTGGATCCCTGACCTAAATACACATATCGGCCCACATTAAAGGCCTCCCCGACGAGTCTCTTTTGGTTGATGTGACACTCGTATCCATAGACGCCGTGAATGATGTTTAATGCCGACCAACACAACAACACAACCAGAATATCAATTGACATTTTGTTTGCCAAACAAAATACAAAATCAGATTTTCAAAACGATAGCACTTTTTTTTCTCTACAAACACATGAAATTAATGGTGTGGTGTTTGCGATCAATTAATTCACAGTTAGAGCCCTGTATTTAATTAATAAAGTGTTGAAAATTTGCAAATTCAATGAATGAGGAAGTGATGAGGAATTATTATTTTAGTTAATTTTGTTTTTAACAAAACAAACCAAACATAAAGTTTTCGGAAACAAAAGAGTTTTGTTTGACTTAATTATGATAACGTTATGCCGAGCGATACATACGATGATAGAGAGATAGATAGAGAGTTAGTGAGAGTGTCTCGGCATTCAAAGTCATTAAATCAGTGGTTAATAATAGTATCGAAAATACACGCAAAGAAATATACAGATATTCTTGAGATCGTAGACAACGATATCAATCGTCAGTTTGAAAATTGATTGCAAATTTGAAGACAAACTTTCACTTAATGTCACCGAAGAGTTGTTGAACTGATTTTATTTTGTCAAAAAACGTAACATCTATTACAGTTTTGTTGGGCACAAACACTACACACTAGAGATGCTGTGATTTACTGTACGCTAGAACACAACCGATGGTTTTTGTTGGCATTTAATTCTGTGTGTGTTTTTTACACTTTCTGTCTGACTGTCTCTCGAGTGGATGTGATAACTATTAATAGATTTTTAGTAAAAACTTTTTTAATAGATTTCTTTTGAGACGAGTTTAAGAATAAAATAACAAAACGCTTAAAGGATTTATTAAAAATCAAGTGATTCTTCCGTTAAACCGATTGTACGCCTCTTAACGAGCGTTAGATTAGAGGATAATAAGTATATTTTGGATTCACGGGAGAGAAATGTTTACACTTTTCTAATTGTCATTCACTGACAAAAAGTGTGAGAATATGTCAAACACTGAAAAATAAAATGATTTTCATTGAGATCATGAAAAAAGTATCCCTAAAATAATGAATTAGCAAAAATCAATGACTACAACACGTTCTCATGTAATAAGAAGTAAATATTAAAACTAATTTATTTGCGAAAAATATAAAATAGTTTTTCTCAAAAAAGAGTAAAATTTTTAACAAAAATAAAAATTTAAGTGAAAGTAAGAAAAAATCTAAATATTTTACGAAATGATTTATTTGATTCAACACAACAAACAGTGGAGTAGTTTATAAGAGTAATTGATTTCTCTATGTCTGCGGTTTAAACACAAACGCGATTCACATCTAATTTCAATACAAACTTTTCCTTTTGAATGCGAAATCATTTAATGAACGCCTTTTGAGAGGAGACTGAGAGCACACATACTCTTGACATCACTTATTATTTTTAAACATCAATTCCTTGAGGTTTTCGTAGAAAACAGTTATCACTTATAAGAGGAGTTATAATAAGTCTTATAAGTCATAACTCTTGTTAAAGAATACAATTATAACTTATTTATTCAATAATAGAGTTATAAATATATGCACACAAAATAGAAATCAATGCAAATTAAGACTTTGCAAAATTTAAACTTGATTTTCAACACATTATAACAACAGATTGTGTGTCAAAAGAGATGCACAAAAATAGGTTTTTTGATTAAAATCCAATACTAGTTGTGGTGAAGCTTAACATTTAGAGATGAGTCTCTAAAACATAATGTAAATTCTGGTTAGAGAGTGAAAAAAAAGTCGTAAAACATTTGCTGACATTCACTGAAAGTTTCAATGAAATAATCGCTGAATAGAAATGTGTTATAAAAATGTTTTGTTTTCGCTTATTCTGGAGGAAGGATTAAAATAAACATTTTTGCGTTACGTTTCATATTTTAATCCAAATATATATAAACACATAACCATTTAATACACAACCAAATAGTGGGTAACGAAAACCCAGTGATAAAGTCTATAGTGCCTTATGTTTCACATTGGCATAAGTGTTGTGCACATTATTTTTAATTAAAAGCACTCATAAATATCAAGTGAAAGTAAATGAATATTCATTACAACGTATTTATTATTTGTTATACACTTTTAATTGTCGTAAAAAGTATTCGCAATAAATATATAAATCACTTCAACAAAAATAAAATCACAGAATGTAAACTCGTTTTTTTACTTTATTATCAAATAAATTAATCACGAATAAAACTAAAAACTTTAAACAGTGCATAAATTTTACGTTTAAAAGTTAAATATCAGAAATATTTTACGAAACAAAAACTGTTGGTATCGGAAGACATGTATATTTGAATTACAAATCGATTGTATATCCAATCCATTGATTACAAGCACTCGTATTGTTTGAATTATACTTCAAATCGCCCACTCATTGCAACGGCATATATAACTCCCGCTGTAATTATATATGGGTTTACTTTTCATCTCATTTATGGCATTATTATTATGAAGAATACAAAACAAATATATTTAATGACAAATCACTTGAGTTGCAAAAGTATAACCTAAATATGAATATTTAATTTAAAAATAAAAATATATTCATATATTTTGATGCTTTGAATGATTTTCTCTACACTTTTATTATTAATGATTCAAAGAATATATTAAATGAGATAATAAACTACTGGAAGAGAAGAAAATAGTCATCGAAAAGCTATTTATTTGATGAGAAATATTTTATTTTACCTCAAAAAACACTTTCATTTATAAAAACTAATGACAGAATCGCTAAAAACAAACAACAAAAATATATGCTAACAAAATATTTGAATTTGTAATGTTTTTCCCATCAAATAAATAAAACATTAATTATTTTTTATAATTCAATATTTATTCCTTAAAAAAATAAATTAAAACTGTTTTAAAAATTCATTTAAAAAATGTTAAAATTTCTGTTTATTTAGTTTGTAGTAAAGCTCATCGAAAAGTTGGCGTTTTATTATTTTCCCGAAAATAGTTTTTGGCAAACATTTCAGTACATAAACGGCTGACAACTTCTTATTCTTCGGCAACTGATCTATAAATTTACGCCAAAAGAGAAACAAAAGAGTCAAACAATTATACACTGTTTAATAAACAAATAAATACATTATTTACATACATGAAAACAAACATGTAATTTATACAAGTATGTAAAAACAATTTACTTACTGTTTATTGTATTCATTATATTATCGCCGGTAAAGGAGTTCATCAACTGGACGTCAATTTCCTCCTTTAAGACAACGAAACCGACGGCCGTCTGTCCGGACTCGTCGTCGGGAACGGCAATAACGGCCGCTTCGGAGACAGCGCTGTGGCCGAGGAGTGGGATCTCCAGTTCCGACGGCGCTATCAATACGTTATTGGATTTAATCATCTCATCGAGAGAGCCGATGGCGTATAAGTGCCGGTCCTCGTCGTAATAGCCGAGGTCTCCCGTATGAAGCCATCCGCCGGAGTCCACGAGCCCTTCCGGTGCGTCCCTTATATTTAGATAACGTCTGCAGAAACCAAAATCCTTGTGAACACAAATCTCGCCGATTTGATTAGCGCTCAACTGATCCCCGTTTCCCAACGCTTTGACCATTATTTTAGTGTCAGGAAAGGCAACGCCAGCGGACTCGTAGGCGAAGGCACTCTTGGCCAGCAAAGTGATGGGAGCCATACATCGGGTGTCAAACAAGGCTTGCCTCAGATCCTTCACGTGTTTATAACGAGCGATAAATTGTTTGGCAATAGTTTTGGGTAAAACAGATCCACAGCTTATTATTTTGATGAGCGACGGTATGTCCGCGCTTTCGTCCGGCGCCTTCACCAGCGATACAATGGCCGACGGGTTCAGTAAAGCGGCGCTTATTTTATACTTTTTCACGTAATGAATGAACTGTTTTATTTCAAATCTGGGCATTAATACGATTTTACTTCCCGTGGAAATGGCTGTAAATATTTGAAAGATTGACATTTGATGCGCGAATTCACAGTGAGATGAGACCACTTCGGTCTGAGTGTAGCCCATGTACTGCGGATAGGATGTCATCTCCAGCGCCGACACCACACTGTGATGGCTATACACCACTGACTTTGGGCAACCACTCACACACCCACTGGAGCTCAGTATTAGACACTCTGTCTGTTTCGGGTCGTGAGGTATGGCTATCATCTCGTCGTTAAAGGGCTCAAATTGATACGAGTCCAAGAGATCCTGGTATAGCCTATACTTGTCATTTGTCTTCTTCCCGCCGTTAAACACAATTATTGTCTAACAAATGATAAAATATTTAAATGAATGCAAATTAGTTTTGAACAATTGATTAAATATTTATTACTTGTGTGATAGGAATGCCATCACTGATCCTTTCGGCATACGATATACAGTTGTAAGAAATGGCTATAAGTTTGATATTTTGTTGAATGATTTTATTGGAAACATTCTCTGCAATAGTAATTGTGATTAGTATAAGTAGTTTATCATAAGTTTTAATTTATAATTGTAATTACGAAATGATTCTGTGGACGATATGCCGTAGACAACAGCGCCGGCTATTATACCGGCCATATAGAGGACCAGATATTCATAGCTGTTCTCCCCTAAGACCCCAAATATGTCGCCCTCTTTGAGGCCCAAGTCTTTGAGTGCATTCGCCACTCGACGGCAATCGGCGTCCAATTCATAAAAACAATGAGTTGTTTCGGTTTCGCATTCAATCTGTTATATTGTTTATTAAATTAACATTAAT